GTCCGTATCAGCGTCCTAAAAAAAAATTCTTAACATATACCTTTAATATACAAATTTGAAAAACCTTTGATAAAAAAAGTTTATATTTAATTTGTGCCTTTGAAGAGGTGCAATAAATACATTTTTTTATAATTAATTCACAAAAAAATTATAAAAACTAACATATATTTTAACATCATTGACACATGAATTATTTTAATTCATTAATTAATTAAATTGAAATCAATATTTACACTTTTAATGAAAATTAATTATAAAAAATATATTAATTATACCTATAATCTATATTCTAAAATTAAGATAGAAAAACTCATTAAAAAAGTTATAATTAAGTGCAATATCTTTCATCAAAATTAGAAAAATATTATTATCAACCTCAATCGTGCATGTCAGGTTCGGTGATTTCTATATACAGATTCATTGGGGTATTCGATGAATGCAACGCAGCCGAAGGTAAAGTAAAGGTTGCATGGCTTTTGTAATTCCAAGGAACGTTAATTAATGTGATTTCAATTACTATTCATTTCTGGATTTGGTTACGTTCTTTGAAGAGTGGATTGCAAAGAAGTTTAATTCAAAAATTAAAATGAAATTAAAGCAAGGGGAAATGGTAGAGTTTCGATAAAGATAGTCGAAGCTGATGATGGAAGACAAGTTTTCGAGGTTCAAATTTTGACCATCTTTCTTTTCTTTTTCTTTTTCTCTCTTCACTGCCAATCGCTTTTTCACTGTCATTTTCTTTCTCCCTTCCTCGTCATCTTAATATATATTATTAATTTTTATTCTCAGATCTCTTTTCCTCAATGAGTCCACTGGATTTCACATAATAGATCCTGCACATACAAGCCTAGACGAAATTTCAGTTCCATTTTCGTGAATTACTATATTAAAAAATATTATTGATATATTTTTTAATTCAACACATAATTAACACCTACTAATTTAGTTATTAAAATTTAAAACTTAACTTTTTTATGGCTTTTAATTTAAATTTAAAAATAATAATTTTTTAATTAATGCAATGTAGAGTGTATTAAACTAAAAGATATTTGAATCAATGTTAATTTACAAAGTTGACAAAAATCATGATTTGCTGTACAATATTATGGGACTATCCTACTTAATTAAAACCTTTATATTGGCACACCTCAAGATTGTTGAAGAAAGAATTAATTGGTTCTGAGATATATATAACCAAAACAACCTACTTATAAATATATTTTTTTTTAAAAAAACCTATATATATTGACAATAAGTGTAGTGGCACATATTACAATGGTGGAGCCATAATATGGGAAGGGGCCTCCTAAACTTTTGAAAAAAATAATTAGATCCCTACACTTTTTAAAAAAATTAAGTAGCCTTTTATATTTTTGAAAAAAAAATCAAATATGTATTTGTTATTTGAGAAATTATCAAAATACATATTATTATGTTAAAGAAAGATAGAATTCTAAATTTTTAATGGCATTTCAAAATTTGTGATTAGTGTTTTTTATCCTAATCTTTCAGATTTAAGAAAAAAAAACACTTCAAAGCTATGTATTTCAATATATAATTAACACAACAGAAAAGACTAAACTAAAGTTGTCTCATTCCTGTTTTAAAAGTAGATTATCTTTGTCCTTTTCGAACATAATTTTAAAGCATTTTTCTTCTTAATTTTTATAAATTCGGCGGATTTTTCTCTTAGAAATTTTGAAGTGTCTTACTATAGATCCAAGACATGTAATTTTGGTTCTCATAAATGTGAGCCTTAATTAATCTTGTTTACAAGTCACTATGTATTTTGCAAAATCCATATTCTCCAGAGTTGGTATGTTAGATAGTTGTGTTTATTGTTTGATTTTCTTCTTCAGTGCTGCAATACTTTGCCCCCCCAATAAAAATCATTGGCACCGCGGTAGACATATTGTATTTAGTCTACAAATTTGCCTTAATTGATACTCCTTTTATCTCAGAATAATAGTTATTTTTTATTTAAGATTTATTCTAAAATAATAGACATTTTTTCATATATGAAGGGAGATAAATATTTTTTCCGATACATCCTATCATAAAAAAGTCTCTTTATTTTTATTTCTTTTTTTAAAGGTAAAATAGGTAAAAAAATAGAAATTATCCCCAAATCCTTAATCCCAAGAAAAAAAAAAAACTTCTATTATTTTAAGATGGAGGGAGTAGATATGAGATTTTCTCACTTAGTAAGTTATAATTAATTAATACAACTTCTAATATATATACACACACCAATTGGCATTATATGATAAATATTTTATGGTCTACATCAACAATATAAACACATATCAATGACTTAAGCTCAGCGATAATTTTTTTAGTGGAGATAAAAGATTTGGAGTTGAGTCATAAACATGTAAATTAGTAGGTAAAGAAATAAAAAAAAAAAATTACTTCTCATTTTATAACCCAAAATTAAATTAAAAAAACCCTAGATTACAAACTATCAAAAATGGCTTAATTACTATTACTAGCATATATTATATATATGAAGCATAATTGCCTCTCGAAGAAAATTAGAAGAAAGAGAGATTATAAATTAATTAAAATAATAATGACATAGAAAGGAAAAAAACACAGGAAGCATTAATGTAAGAGACTACCCACCATTTTCTTGGGGAGTGGTAAAGAAGGCTGTTGCAAACTGTGAAAAAGCAAAAGGGAAGAAAGGGAGGAGGAGGGGGAGGGGACTGATTCGATTCTCTCTTCGGGAAAAGCTTCCATGCATGAGATGAGATGTGAGTGAGACTGAGACTGAGACTAGTCATATATGTACGCCTAACTCCTACCGTATACATATATTCTTTTTCCACTTTTCAATCTCCCAATTACAGATTAATTATAAATACACACCTTTCCACCTTTATATATATGCCACTATTATTTTTACGCCAGTCACGCCTAGGTGCCACCTTTATTTCAATCTTTACCTTTTTTACCTTTTCCATGTAACGTGACTACGTGTATGCTTGGCTTTACGTACATCATCCATGCAAAGTACTTTATTTATATAATTCTTCTTTAATTATAAGATATCTTAAAAAATCATTAGAATTTGAGCCACATTCTATAAAAATTTAGAAAAAAAACCATCATATATAAAAGTCAAACTTATAATCTCAATGTTGTGGAGTTTCTATCTTAACTTTTAAATCTTTAATCAATTGATATAAGATCTCATTTGTTATTAGATTAGATAAAAACTTTTACTAAAAGAAGAAGAAAAAGAAAAAGAAAGAGAAAGGAATGATATTTTTTTTATTTGAAGAAACTATAATTTCGGAGAAGGAAATTTTAATCTCAACCTTAAAATTAAAGATTCACCTTATAATTAGACGTATAACTATCAAGTTAGGAAACCAATTGCAAAAGGAACGAATGATATTGAGCAAATATTTGGTAATGAGATGTATACGGTATCATGATATGATTTATGTACGTGTTGTTTTGGGTTGCATGCACGTGATATAGTAGAGATGAAAATGACGTCATATGATAATGATAAAAGTTGCCTCTTTTCTTTTTACTTTTTAGTCCTCCAACATCTTTTTATTATGCTCGAGACTTCCCAAATGTCCTCTTATGCTTATCCAGTTACATCCACTACTACTACTATGATTTTTTTGCAAACCCCAAATCCTTCTTTTTTTGTTTACACTTTTTATTTATTTGGATACTATTCAACACTATTACATGTAAGTTAAAGCAAACAAGGAAAGGTGGGAGAAAAAACAACAAATAATATTAGACTTCAAAGCACCTGTGGCTAAATTGCCATTTTAGTCCTTGATGTTTTTCTTATCTTACATTTTTTTTCATCAACAAATAAAAATTGTACAAGAATCCCAGAAAGCTACATTCTAGGAAGCCCAACCAAAAGTTCTCCATCAACATCAACTAATTGAAGCCCATTTTTTACGGGCCGAGTAAACATAAGTCTAACAACAACCTTACCCAAATTGGGCCTAGCTAATCAGTTGTAGACAATCCGTACATTTGCGGAAAATTTAAGTCCAGCCCATTTGACAGTTCGGCCCAAGAAATAAAAGATGACAAAAGGCCAGGATTAGGGGCAGATAAAACGGAACATTCCCGCTCGGTGTTCAAATGGCTTTCCTTTGTTTAGTTTGTTTTACGTACGGCACTCAAATCTGAAAGTCTATCTCTCTAATGAAGGAGAGAATGTAGGCACTGTTTTATTTTTCAACATCCGTTATTGGTGGGGGCGATAAATGAGAGAGAACCATGAAGATGATGATTTTATCTCCTAGTATCTTCACACTTAGGGCTGCGGCTTATGGACTCTCCTCAACCTAACAACATTTCCATCACTTCCACTGACTCTGCCGCCACCTCCACCTCCACCCCCACCTCACCTGCTTCTTCTCCTCATCAAGTAACCATTACTTCATTATTAATTAATTTCTAACTTATAATTTGTACTGTTGTACTTGTTTTGCTTTATATATATATATATATATATATATATTATCTCTTTTACTATCTTGAGAGAAAACTTGTAACTTGTTTAGTATAATGGTTGTGCGTTACTGTTTTAAGTTTTTCTTTTTTAATATATATATATATATATATTATTGAATTTGTGTTTTTCTAGATCTGGTTGGTTTTGCTTGTATTGCAAGGCATTTTTTGTTTAATAAAGTTGTAGGTTGGGATTTTAGGTGGGTTAGTGAAAATGGGTTTTTGCTCAAATGGGTATTGATCAAATTGTACTTATATAGTTGGGGGAATGGTGGTCAAGGGCCATGGAGTGGTTTCATTTCATTGAATCATAAAGAAGATGTCTTTTTTTCTGTTGTGCTGATGCTTAGTCTTTGAACTGAAATTAAATCATACTATGAAATTCACTTTTGTTCTTCATTTTGATTTCAGGATTCCCCTTTATCTGAGTTCTATAAAAGTCTTCCTTCCATAGTTCTTCTCAAAGCTCCACAGGGTGATAATTCTTCATGTCCTGTGTTTACATCAGGCCCACTTTGTGAAACGGCTTTGGTGAAAAGGTATATGATCCAATGAGTTTTAGATCTATGGATTTTGGATAAATGAATTACAGCTTCAGCTCTGATTTCAAGGACCTAATTCTCACACCTCAATCATCCAGTGCAGAAGAAAGTGATGGAGGCAAGAAAAATGATGGTCACCTTGGTTGTATGGAGTTATCTGTCCCTGGATTTCAGGGCGTATTGAAAACTGGCACTCAGGAGAATGATAGAAACAACACTTTGCCAGTCCAAAACAACAGTTTGTCTGTGGGTTTTCATGAATACTCGGATGGTCTTGCATACAAAAACTCTGGTTACAACTCAATCTACTTGTGTACTTCAATTGTCAGTCAATTTTTGAACAGACTTGAAGAATATTATTTCAATATTTGACAGCAAACATTTATATGACACAGGGACCAATGTTAATTCATCCTTGTTCGTGTCTGGACAAACTGAACAGAACCTCGAACAAGTGTCAAGCTTTGATCTCAAGCCAATGAAAGGTAGAGAGGAGCAAGGTGCAAGAGAATGGCCACATAATGAGTGTCCTGTACTTGACTCTGACCACATCCATCTTGCCTCTAATGCACAACAGTGTAAAGATTCTGGTGCTCAGGTAGTCATTTATATTTACTTTCCTAGACTAACTGAGGATGGATATGAGTTGTTCGCCTTCCTATAGATTCTGGTGCTTGAGATAGTGTAATGAATATTCTCAGTGCAAAAGAAATGCACATTTTAATTTTTTTGTCATTTTGTTTTAAGTTACAGGACATATATGACCGAGGGTATTTTTCCAATGAATTGCCGCCTGGTCCTTTGCAGGGCGTTCACGCATATGGTAACATTGGTGAAAATGTCCAGGCAATGATGAATGCACAATCTGATAATATGATGCAGTATTTTCAGGTAAGCTTAAAATTCAAGAAGGTACAACATTAATTTAGCAACGCTACACTTGTAGACAGTTCATTACTCTTTATATCCAGCTGTTTAACCAGAATTTAACTGTTGAACTTTTTTGCTTTTCAATTTCATTTTACCTATCAAATTCTATTCTGTTCCTATTTTGGAGTTGAATAATTTATACAGTAAATGTAGGCCGGTGAAGACCAACATGGCATGACCAGGCGTTGCCTCCAATTCAGAGAACAGCCAACTGCTATAAGAAACTACAGCAGTTCTTCAAACTTAGGAAATGAAGTGACTAATTCAAGGCCATTTTGTACAACTTCAGGGACAGAGAGTTTGGGTTCATTTGTAACAACCAAAAAGAGGCAGCTAGGTAACCCCTCCCAATATGTGCCAACCATGTTGTCCACTTGCTCTAGTGAAAAATCTCCCTTCACTGTTCCCAACCCGTTGGATATTTGCTTGCCCCTGAACAGCAATATGAATTCTACCAAAATGGATTGTGGTGGAACTGGAAGCATGAAACTAGAAGTGGATAGTGTGGATTTGGCATCTGTCACAAGCAACCATTATCTGGAAACCAGGAAGAATTTTTCAAGTGTAGTTGACAACATTTCAGCTTGTCCTGTGGGTGGTGCACTTTATGGTAGGGATTCTTTAGTTGCTGGATCTAAAACTTCTGAGCCATTCTGCAATATGGAACCAGTTGTGCAGCATTTGACTTTACAGACTAGAAGGAATATTAACTCAGAGCAGGTAGACAGTTGTGAGGAGTTTAACCAACAAGGCACTAAAAAGAAAAGGCAAGTATGTGTGAAATCTCTTATAGTTTTATATGGTTCTACTAAACTCCATAAATAAGGAGGGCTGAATCTTGTTCTCGTATGTTTCTTAGGAAGAAATCATCAAGAGCCATTTTCGATGAGGGTTGCAAGCATTGCAATTGCAAAAGGACCAAATGCTTGAAACTGTAAGTGACTTCTCTTGTGTCTTGGTTAAAGTCCGCTCTAGGGATGCAATGCTAAACTAGCTGAAACATAGCTGTTAATTTTTTTCCCCTGTATGTTTGTTTGCAGCTATTGTGATTGTTTTGCTGCTGGGATCTTTTGTGATGAATCTTGTGCTTGCCAAGGTTGCTTAAACAGACCTGAATATGAAGATACAGTTTTTGAGACAAGGCAACAGATTGAATCTCGTAATCCTTTGGCATTTGCTCCCAAGATCAAAAACAGCGTAAAAAAGCATCTCTCTTTTTCTTGCTTTGTCTTTCCTACTTGGCAGCTTTATCATTGCATTTATCTCCACAGGAAGATGGAAAGTGGATGACACCATCCTCTGGTAAGCACAAAAGAGGTTGCAATTGCAAAAAGTCAATGTGCCAGAAAAAATATTGTGAATGCTACCAGGTAAATGTTTATTACATTCTGAACTAATGTTTTTCCGCCCAGTTTGTCATCATCACTGGACTCATTAATCTTCTCTCTTTTGAAAAGGCCAATGTTGGCTGCTCCAGTGCATGTCGATGTGATGGATGTAAAAATGTTTATGGCAAGAAGGAAGGTGAGTATTGCAAGTAATGCCACCAGCTATGACTCTCAAATCCATGCTCTCTTAAAAATCAAACTAGAAAAGTGAAGAAATATATTTTATCTAGATGAATTATTTACAACTACTGCCGTTCTCACCTTTTTCCAGATTATGGTGTAACTGGAGAAATAATGGAAAGCAACAGAGACAGCAAGGAGATATTGGCAGGATCACTTGAGCATAAACTGGGAGCAGTTGTAGCCAAGAAAGACTCCTTGGGTCTCGAGTTGCATGATCTGCAATATCTCACACCCATGCCGCCTTCATTCAACTACTCAGAGTAAGATCTCTATGATTATGATGTGCCAATGTAGTGCAAGAAATATTGGATATTCCAATTCAACTTTATCATGTGCTGATGACCCCTTTTTTTTCTATTTAGCCATGCAAAGGATTCACAAAAATCTCAACTTCTCTCCTGGAGATACCTTCCATCACCTCCACCTGGCTTTACAGTCCCATCATCTCATGTAAAAGCTCTGAGAACTCCAAAAAATTTTGATAGCAATGACATCTTTCAGGAAACAAGCAAACATACTTTTGATCTTAGTTCTTATATTCAACGAATGGATACACATGCTGATCCTAGTCCAGTGCCAAGTTATCCTTCAATTTTAATGGCTTCTTCAGAATCATCCAAAGGAAAGGACTTGACAAGTTTTTCAAGACTCCAATTGTGTCCCAGAACTGGCCATATCCCTTCAGGTGGTTCCCCTCACCGGAATAGTTCATTGATTACACCAATCTCTGAATTAGACGAGACAAAAAATCCTCAGGAGTTTAACTCTGATGGTCGACTTTATGACATCTTGGAAGATGATATGTAAGGTCTTGAAAGAGAATTCTTCCCTCCATTGAGTCTGTCAAGGTAAGTTCTCCAAATGGCAAGGGAGTTTCACCTCAAAATTTGCATGTGCTTCGTTCAACTTCTACGGAGGTATTAAAAAGCAGTAAGAAGTTTCCCCCTCTTACGCCTTGCAAAGATTTGAAAGGTAGCAGCAATCAGAACAAGAGCAATTTTGAGGAAAATAGTAGCAATAGTTGATTTCCAGACCAGCACCATTTTGGCCTTACACTTTGCAATTTCAGTGATTCATTTCATCTATACCGAGCAGTTTATAGTACTTGTGAATATTTGAACCTGAATCACATTGGGCTGATTTTTCATTAATCTTGCTTCTGCATACTACTTTATATCACCATTATGTTGGATAAGTTGTACTTGGCATAGGACAGGATCTTACAGCTAAAGATTTTGAGTATATCAGGTTTCAATATTATGGAGAGATATTACTCCTCAGTTAATAGGTATGCGGATGGTTTTCATCATTGATTGTGTTGTTAGAGGTAGTAGGGAGACACTTGCTTATTAGTAGACGAAATTCAAATAGAGATTACTCAAATGATCTCCAGTCTTCCTTTGAGAATAAGAAAATAAATTTTTGTTTACCATTTCTCCTCATATTTGCTAGTTAGTGTTCACTTGAGTTATTCGCAACACTATTGTTGGTCAGATCTGTAAGAACTCATGATCTTAGCAGGATGTAAACCTTCTCTTTTCAACTGCACCAAAACTTGCTTGAAAACGTTTGTTGAATAAGTTTCCTTTACACTCATTGAATATATAAATTTTGTTGTTTTATGGTGCAGACAAAAGCTTCTTTCAGTCATATCCAAAGTCTTGGGTTGTTCAAACCTTTTTTTTTTTTTTTTTTTGCCTGTCCAGATTGTAAACCTACCTGCATTTATTTGATTGGTGACATATGACAAGTTAAACCTACCTGCGTTCATTTGATTAGTGACATGACAATTTTCTTCAAAATGGAACAGAAGGGTGTAAAGATACGTAGTGGAATGGAAGAATCTTACAACCATACTAGGAGCCTTCAATTGTGGGAAAGATGGGTTTAGATCTTAGAACTGCAATGAGACACAATTATCTTTCCTCAAAACAAAAAGTTTTGTTGTCCAGTACAAAAAAAGAAATAACTCATCTCTTTCATTTATCATGTACTTCGAAGTACATTTGGTGCTTCATAATCCAGTAAAGAAACAAGATTGAGACTTCCCCTAGATCCAACCTAGACAACAAAAATTACTTTCACCCATTCCTAGCAACCACTAAATAAAAGTATTATCCCTTAGCAAGAAACTTTATTCAGGAAGGTGATATCTTAGAGAATCAGAAGCGGAAGGTTGCAGCTATACCTTATACCCCACTAAACTCTTATGCATTGTTGATGACTGGTAAGTATTTCTGCATCATGCATTGCTTCATTAGCTTTTCTGATATTATTATGATCGTGACCCCTCGAGCCCCAATGTTGTGGTTAGCCAATTACAGACTTCATCAGTCTCTTCTGGGATTGTATAGTTACCAAGCCTGCATAAAAATATGAAGCATTCATAATAGTACTCTTCAATAAATTATGTCTGTCATAGCTGTTTATATAGATAAACAGTAAAATACCCGTTGTAGGTTCTGAACATAAGGTTTTGGAAACCAACTGAACTTAAAGCCTGGGCTGATTTCTCTCCATGTTGATATGCAACTACATCATCACCTGCAATGGGAATATAAGAATGAACTAGGTCCATATTCTGAAATCTCTTTAACATGTATACAAGTGGTTTATTCACTCATTGTAAGCATTGCCATCAAGGCAGTTAAAAGACTGGAGAATAATGGCTAAAGCCTACAAGCTATCTTGGAAATACCAAAAGAGTTTCCAGTATATGTAATGGCACCTCAGATTCTTCCACCGACGAGCTGCTTATTTCTCAATATTCAAATATTGGCATCCCATTTATCTACTTTCAAGGCTTTTGATAGGATACAAGAACATATTTTTACATCTCATGTATTATTCAACAGCTTACCAGCCTGCCTACATTACCTAATAACCCAGTGACATATTGGTGCAACTTTATCACAATGGTAAAGCATTCAGTTAGCAAGTTCAGAGATGAGCATGAGTACCTAAGCCATGGCACATCAGAATGGGCAAGGATGCTGCATGCCTGACAGCCCCAATTGATGCTTCCATACGGTTCCTTAAGGTCCTGAATATAACAATCATAGCTGAATGAATCACTTAACAACAAAGTGCTAGAAAAGTGGTGTTAACAAAATTCAAACCTTGAACATGGAAGCCAGCCGCTTAGACCAACAACTGCACGTAGGTTAACAGGATACATGTTTCCATTCCCGTAGTTTCCCAACACACGGCATGTGGCAGAGTAGAGTGCAATTGCAGCACCCATACTAAAACCACCAATCCCAAGTTTAACTGCACAATAATGATAGTTTAAGTCTTCATACATGGATCAAAGAAGAGAATATAATCCCTTGTCTCCCACTCCCTCCACCAACACCCCAATCCAATATATTCAACTATTCAGTTGAGAAAAAAGAGTAAAAAAAAAAAAAAAATTTTTTTGAAGAAAAGATGCCTAGGTTTTGAAAGCAGTTAAAAGATGCACTTTGCAAATAAAAGATACGCATGCCTCTAGTTTATAATGGTTTTCCTTTTCATTGTTTTGACAACTTAAAAGATTTTTGGAACTTCTAAAAATGCACATAAATTTGTGAAAAGCAGTTTGTTATGAAGTATTAACCAGAATGCAACTTTTCATAGGTGATGCAATGAAAAAGCATCTAGCTATTGAGATTTCTTCACAGTGGGTAGGCAGATGGGAATAAATCTATGACTAGAGGCTTAAGATTTTTGTAAACTACAAGGAAGATATCATACTATCAGCAGGCTCTGTTGACAAGAGATTGGCAACATGTGCTGCTGAAGCATCTAGTCCCTCCAAATCATCAGGACCATCCTCTGACAGATCTCCCATGTCAAACCCTGAAATAGATTACAGAAACTATATTTACAATACCCTTCAGAGGCATAATAACAGAAAAAAGAGCTACTACAATTAACAGCACAGATGGTAAACCATTCATAAATTTATTGGATAGCAGATTTATTTTTTCAAAAACCAAAGAAAGCAATTGTTTAAAGCAATAAAATCTTACAAGCTGTGCATGGATATCCACCAAAAATGGCTACTGGCCTAGTTGGTGCAGTTGGACAAATCCACTTAATCTGCAAAAATATTTAAAAGTTTCAACAGAAACATATGATAAGGTTATCTCCAAAAGGGAATATAGTCTAGTTAAACGAGCAACTAACAACAAAAAAGTGGCTTATCCTTACATTTGGAAGAGGAAGAGTTTCCAATAGTTGAGACCAGCTGCAAAACAAAGCAGAAAAGCTGAGAATCCACCTCAATCATCACCAAATGCCCTCAGGAATGTTTAAAAACTTTAAAATCCTAAATAACAGAATACCAGCAGCAGGGGCAATGAAGCTAATAACATTATAATATCATTTAAGAACTTTAACCATATTACTTGGGGACCACCACACTCAAGTTCAGCAAAGGCCAAAGCTATTATGGTACCATTCATACAAAAGGACAAACATAAATGACACTGCATGATTTGCACTTCCCATTTTTTAGAAAAACAAAAACAAACTACTTAGTCATTATTATCATATGATTTAGGAATCTATAACCTTGCCTTCCAATTGAAAGGAGAATTAACCTAGAGAAGAAGTGGTCCCCACTCTAGGCATTAGCTTGAGATTGCCCCAACTTTGTTTAGAACGAATTGAGGGGAATGATCAACAACTAATCATATTTTCTCATGGAGTTCCATGAAATCAATCATCAGATCAAAGAATCTCCCAGATAAGAACAATTATCTCAAAAAGTTAAAATGAAACTTCTCCACCAGTACCAGACAAGATATTGTCTTATATTTTATATAAGACAACAAATCCATTATTGTCACATAAGATGAATGCTCAAAACAAGAGAAAGAATCAAACTTTCACCACATATTGCTGATAGAGCATGAATAAATATTAGATAAATACAATTAACTGAAAGCTCAAACTCTCAATTGTGCAAAAGTTTGACGATCCATGAACAATAATAGAATGGAAAAGCACGGTGATTTACAACTACAAACTTACAAGAAAGTTGCATGAATGTAGTTATGACCTCTGATTTCTCAAAACAACAACCATGGAAATGCCAATGCAAGCATGATAAAACCAACGAAAGTCCAGCATTTATACCTTGCACCCTTGTCACCAAGCCCATGCAGCCAAACTATTGTAGCCTGGTGCCTTCCTTTGGGTCTGACCACATGCGTCCTCCCAAACTCAAATGTTCTTCTAGTTGTTTCACCGCCTGCAAACAGTTCACAAGTTCACCACAAAAGACTCAGAAAAGCTTGAAACTGAATATCACAACAACCGCTGCTTAAAGCAACACTCAACAGGGAAAAAGAGACGCACTGGAACTCATATTTAATGGTAGAACTATTGTGGCTGATTTTCTCCAACTATATAGCTAAACTATGCAGAATACTTGTTGCAATGATCAAACCAAGTTCCTGCAATGAAGAAAAATAAAAAATTCAGCATCTCTATTTATAACCATAAGGCAAGGGTGAAAATGGAATGCAACCCACCATTTTACATCAGCTACTCTAGCTTACACCAGTTACACCCTCCCCAAAACCTTCTAAAAAATTTAATAAGAAAAGTGAAAGGCGCCCAGGAAACTAAGAGAGAAAATGAAAGGGAAAAATAAAGCAGAAACCTTTTATGATCAAAGAATCCACAACAAATCAGATCACATCAAAGCAGAAAACGAGCTAACAAAATATTCATATTGCAATGTACTGAAAGAAAGGGAATCAATACTTGTCCAAAGTATGAAAAGTCAAGCACTTCAACAACAACCATGAAAACAACAATTTATCAACAAAGGAGATTAATTTATTCCACTTCTTAAAGATTGATGAATACCCATAAAAACGTAGGGTTGCTAGATGAAGGAAAAAACTTGGCATCAACTTGCAGGTACAGACAAGATCTAAAAATGGAATGAGAGGGTGGGGAAGGAAGTGGGATTTCTAAACTTCTATAGTACAACAAACCTGAACCCGGTGCAGCGTGGAACAAACAAATCTAAAACCACAAAAGACCCCTTTTTTCTTTTCCTCTTCCCTCTCCTCTGTAAATTACTTTGCTATGCTTCCCACAGTTTTCACCTCCTCAGTTCAGTGGTTTGTTCTTTTTTCTTTCTTTTTTTTTTTATTCATGGTAGAAAGCAAACCAGTACACTCTCAGTTTCTTATACCTTCGGTCATAAAGACTAAAATGCCCTTTGAGTAATTGCAATTTTTTCAGCATACTATTTCCCTTTTGTCCTTTTACCGGCTTGTCGTATTCCTTGATAGTTACATCTGCTCAAAATTAAGAGGGTTATAGATTCTCCTGGAATTATGTTGCTATGAGAAAAATTATTTTATTATTTAATAAATATTTTGAAAATAATT